GACACACCAAAAGCGCCGCCCAAACCAACACCGCGAGAGAGCGGCTTACTGAGTCTAAGCTCTTCGCAAGCTCGCGACCGGTTCCTTCGCGTGTCGCGCGGTCGCACGACGATCGCCATGGTCGCACCAGGTGAAGGGCGGAGTGTCCGAAGGTGACTTCAAGTTCAAACTCGTGACGGTCGGTGACTCCGGTGTCCGGACTCCCAGTGGTCAGTGATGGACCCCGAGTGGATGGGACGTGATGACGTGGAAGGTCCCCAGGTCTGTCGTGCTCAAAGGAAAGAAAGCATGTGACGCAATGCATTTGTAGAGACACAGCATCATTTTAAGCATTTCTAAGCTTGACATGTTTTTGTTGGCAACATGTGGCAATTCCCAGTTGGGGAAGGTGGGTAAAGCAAAAGGAAACAGCCACAGTTGCCGGTGTGGGACATGGATACAACTTTTTCCACAGCTCGTGCAGCCCGTTTACAGATTCTTGGAGCAGCAGCGAAGGCTGTTTTTGAGGGAGACGGTGCAGTCTATTGATGGGAGGCGGAATGGAGGGCTTCAACAGCTGCAGCCAAGTTTGAACAGACAAAACATCACAGACCATTGTTTAAATTACATGTGTTATTTTGCTGCAATGTACATGGCTATGTCCACAAGCTTCTTTTTGGGGTTGTTCAACAACATTGAGATTCTGTTGTTCAAGCTGCAGGGGCGCTACATGAATCGATCTCCGCACGAAATTCCTTGAGGTTCGGAAAGCAGAAGCCGAGACCCGCCGAATTCGGCTAACCTGGATGGTTGGACCCGCCGAATTCGGTAAACACCACCGCGCCGCGGAAAACCGGTCGCCACCCAGGTCGGGAAGTCCTGCCTGCTAACGCGCTTCGTGCAGGAGCCGCGGGTGGTGCAAAGCGAGGTGAACAGAGGGAGGTGAGAAGTGAAAGATGAAGGGGCTCCTGATTTGTTGAAGCTTTTTGGATTGAAATACATTGTTTTGTGATGTTTTGTGTGACCAGATTGCGCGTCGAGAGATCCTTCGTCAATCTCTTTGTTGTTTGAGATACTTAGTGAGATACTTAATAAGGCAATATCTATGGAATGATGATGTAACATTGTAAATAGGACTGGGTTTCTTGGCTCTTGCTTGTCGTTTTCAATGAGCACCCACCTCACCCGCCGCATCCGCACTTGTATTTTTGCTCTGATGAACAACTTTCTTCGCAGGACTACTATTCGGACTGCCACATCTCGACCATCGGTGTTGACTTCAAGACGGTGCGGAAATTCATGTCGACGTGAGATTCGGGGTGAAATCCGGTTTGCCAATCATGGGTTTCTTTCTGGTGACAGATCAGCCAAATGATTTCCTGCATGTAGTCTGTTTTGCTTGGAATCTCTTGGAATCATACCCAGACACTCCATGGGACTGCCATATATGCCTACATTGACCCCCAAAACCACCCCAATGTAGATTCAGAGGCAAACGGAAGGGTAGTGCACAGAAAGTGTTTTGCAAAAACCTGTTCTACTAACATCGTGGAAGGCGCGGGACATTCGTAGAACCCAAGGCTATTCGTGGACAGTTCGTGGAATGGTGGGCCAGTAGGAGAACTGACTGCAACGAAATCCCAGAAACCCTCGCAGAACTTCGTGGAAGGTATTTTTGGTGCACTAACGTCGTATAAGCGATTGTTGCTGACCCCCTTTCTCCACACACCCTCCATTTAGCCTTCATAGATGAATATGTCATACATGGAGTGTCTGGGATATTTGGCCAACCTCGGCTCCGGACTCGCTGGAACGACGATTGGTTGGAAGTCTCAGGATCGGATCGTTGGACGATCGTTGGAACGCGAGCGGCGGTCAATCGGTCATCTTGATCAAAAAAACGTCTCAACAAAAAGAGGCCCACTGACTGGGGGTCAATCTGTGAAGTATATAATAATTGAATTGAACGATGTATAATTGGTTGGCTCCATCACCACACATACATCTGCACGCTTTTGTCGCGAGATATTCAGAAACCATGCGCTCCAAAAGAACTTCCGTTCCCCCGCCTTCCCCCGTTGACCGAGACGACCTTCGCGCGATCGACCGTCCAGGTGGTGACCATGGTGAAGGGTCGCCTCGTGAAGTTGCAGCTCTGGGACACCGCTGGGCAGGACCGACGCCCGCGCGAACACGTCGTTTTGTGGAGCACGTCGTGTGGTAAGAGATGCGTTCCTCCGCGCCGAGGCGGAGAACGGGCAGGATGTGTTTTTTTCTTGGCTTAGCCGAACACCAGACCTTTCTGAAACACGGACGAGACGGGGCATGGTTGGGAGAATTTGGAGGTGTATGTGACCCGTAGAATACTGTAAAATTAAGATGAAACTTCATGAAACAAATCCCAACCCACTCCATGGGACTGGAATATATGCGGTGATTTCAGGGGTCAAGTGATTGGCCTCTTCCAGTCTTCGAGACCTGGGACCTCCGTGTGGTCGAACCTCGACCGCAGCAGGAGCGGTTCTCTGTGGTCACAGGCAACTACTACCGAAACTCGGATGGTCGGGGCCGCCCAGTGTCGGTGGCGTTGCAGGCGTTGCGCGAAGCTCCGCGTGAAGGGGGGGTGTTGGGTTCCGCAACGGCACGTCGCAACACACCGGACGTGCCGCGTGCTGCTGATGCTGACGATGGTCCAAACAGGCTTTTTACTTGTACCGGTCCATATCTACTATGTCCATAGTCTGGTCCAGTTGCTTGCTGCCAACCTGGGTCTCATTTGTACATGAGGATCATGATACATTCCATGTCTTGGATTTGAAGAGGACCAAGGTTCCCAAGAAGTTCAGAGTCTACACTCCCTTCAAAGCCACGTAGACACACCCTCTCTATAGATGCCCTACATCTATGTTGCTGAGTAGAAAGTACCATGATAAAGAGTCGTCAATCTTCAACAACGTTCTATATGTGTGTTTTTTTGGCGATCTTTGGCGAGTTGTTTCTCGGCCGTCGCCGGGGCTGAGATTAGAAAAAGGAGCAAGTTGGTAGACCTCTGTACTGGTTGGTATACCTCTTGACGTGAACAAATGCAACCCTTTGAGTATTTGGACCCTGCAAAGTATCTTGGAAAATGGGTGAACATGGGACATGATCCTATAATATCAGGTACTTTGTAGATGTTGCAGTTGGATTCTTGGGCTCCTGACCTTGAAACCATATGGGCTCAATCCGCTAAAACCACCTCGCGTCAGCCCAAACAACGCCAGAAGAAACGACTGAAGCCGCGACCAACGCCAGAACCAAGAGAGGTTAAGCGACCGTCGGACCTGCCGGGGTGCGGAACTGGGATAGGTGAACAGGTCGGGTCCTTCAATCTCAGGCTTCATTTTTGTGTACGATGCCACCAGCAGGGTCGTGCTCCTGGTTGAGCGAAGGATGCGAAGGGAGTTCGTTGACAGGGGTCGTCAATCTACTTTAATATCCCCAAGAAGAGGTTCATAGTCAAAAATGCTGATATGCTTTGCAAACACTTGCTTATAGTGGTGGTTCACTGATTCACTTGTCGTATGCATTTACTCTATATACTTATAACAAGGGAATGTTGCATTGTATCAAAGGTGGGTATTGGCGATAGGCCTTCCCTTAAGGCATTGTTTTGTTTCCGGAAAGCTACAATTCAATGAATACCACGTGAGTTTCAACATACTTGTATGGGAAGATCAGAGTATTGAATCAATTCACTGAAGATGTTTGTTTTGCCAACTGTCTCACGTCTTCGCCAGGTCCCTCTTTTTGGGGGAACAGCGAGTGACGTTTCTCGTTTCCCGTGTCTCGAGCCCGAGAGCCACGCGAGCGACGTCCCCAATGCGACTTGTCGAGTCATTGGGGTCCGGACGACGGACGGGGTCCATCGAATTAGACCACGAACGGATTGAACATTGGAGACCCGAGGGCCCCCATATACTCCAGCTAGGGAGGTATGTTTGGTGCAGAGTCTCATGTCCGCGGGATGGCATCAACGTCCGACTCAACTCATCAAGGTCCAAGTTCTCCTGAACATCCAAGTTCATGCATGTGCATGCCTTACATGTGGGACAGCATGTTCTTAGTTCGGACATTCTGGAGCGACTTTGCATCTTTGGGGCCATTGGAAGCTGTGTGTGTGTGTGTGCGGGTGTGTGTGTTTCATTTGCGTTTTCACTAAGAGATGCTTATATACAGTTTTGCTCAACGGACAGATTTAAACATATTTAAACAGCATGGATTTTGCAATTGGAGGATTATTGCAGTCATGAAATAGAACAGATGGAGGTTGTCAAATGTTTATACCCACACGCTCCAAACAGATCCAAACAGCCCTTGGTCGGTCCCTTCCAAACCGGATTTGAGACCCCGGATTCGGGTCCGACCCCTCCATCTCCCAGACGCTCCATGGGACTGCCATATATGCCGATCAGTTGGGGTGGTGTTGGGGGTCAATGTAGGCATATATGGCATACATGGAGCGTCTGGGTATGATTATGAGGGTCCATGAGTGTTTGGGTAGTGTGGTTGCTCTTGCATCGATGCAGATCTTGCCTTTGACGACCGGAGTGCGTGGCTCTAGCTGCCATGACGGCTGAGAAAATGACGATCAAGACTCGTTCAAGCGGTTCTTGTGGAAGCAAGACTGCGAAAGAAGCAAGGTGGAAGTTTGAGGGAACATGTTAGCCAGAGAAAATGTTGGCTTGCAGATATGTTTCAGTTCAGGTCTCCATGTTAATTTTGCAAGATCTAGATGTAACAGTGTTCGCAGACATCTAGGACACAATCGCATGGCCTCCTAAAGATCTCTCAAAGATACGTGATAGTTCCGCCAGTGAGAAAAAAAACTCGGAACTCATATAGCTCACTGTTTTCTGTTTCCTTTTGGGAGATCAATCTCAATCAGCTGCCCTTTTAGCAGCCTACATCTTACTGGAAAACCCCACCATGGTCCACCAGCTCATCAGGACACCTCGGTCGCCGAGCCTACCCTCGATGGCATGCCGGAGGGCGGACCTGAAGGCTCCGAGATCGGTGCAAAGCGGCGTTTGGGTCCACGAAGCGCGGAGAATTGTAGCAGATAAGGAAGATGAAGCGATTCATATCAGCAATATATAGATCTATAGATAGAAGTGGAGCGACAACATTTAACAGTGAATCGGTGGATCACTCAATTAAAACCCTTCTTTTGTTTGTACAGCGGTCTCCACCAGCCTCTCGTACGTAGTACCAGCCATCACTGGCCACTTGGCGCAGCGCCAGGAAGCGTAACGAGTCGCGCGAGCAGCATTCGTCAGCAGCTGCGGAAGTTGTCCGGGCCAAAGCACTGGATGTTGGTCTCCTTGGTGTCTTGCGGGTTGAGATTTGTGGGGGTTTTGCGGGTTAGTACCGTGTGGGAGTTGAGGTCTGGTTTTGTGGCTTTCTCGTCACCAGACGTCCTATACCGAGGCTCCACGAGCGAGGCAATGGGAGCTTGTTGCGTGCGTGGAGGCGCCACGTGTGATGTGACCAGTAACGTGAGCCGGGCCCATTGAAGTCGTCACGGCACGTGTTTTCTGTGTATCGTGAAAACCCACTGGAAGTCATGAGGCCTCAAGTGGTTCCTCACACCAGTGGCATTGGTTCTGCTTTTATATGTTGATTCATGTTGATTCGCAGTGACGTTACATCAGTTCTGACCCACATGGACCGGGTTGTTCACCAAACAATATCAAGCTCAACACAATTGAAACCACCTCGCCTTTTCAGGTGTTCTTACAACATCTGAGACCACGCGACGTTTCAACCGACCCCCGAACCTGCGTCGCGCGACCTTACAGCCTTGTTCTTCGCCTTGTTCTTCAATCCCCCCCACCGCGACGAAGTCGGGGCGCCTCAGGAGCGAATTGGACCCCGACTTCTCCCAGAACGTGAGCCTCGAGGACGCGGGCGACGCCGGTGGAAGAGTGGGCTCCATTCAGCCGGACGCCGTCACGTCACCGCTTTGGTTCGGTTCGGACTGGGGATGGGTGTTAGGGCGAGGAGATGGTTGGACTAGGGCATAGTTGTTGTAAGATGTTGTTTTGTCATTGGATGTAATGAATTGACATACACTACATGAGAGCCCCTTGATGCAGAGATGACACGATCTCTTTTTGTAGCGAGTCAAAGTGTCATTCTGCAACAATTGGTCTTCTTATCAGTTGATCCTCACGTTTTTGATTGTCCGCTGCCCACATTTCACACACATTGACACACCTTTGTGCAAGTTCTCCGTACTGTTAGGATTTTCTCTCCAACCAAACAGCAACAATTCAGTATAGGATCCCATTAAGGGATCTCCCTGATTTACCACAATTCTGGCTGGAATCCTAAAGGGGAACATAGGGGAACATCATCTGTCAGATTTTGCTCGCAGAACCGTTCCGCAGGAGCTCCAAAGATGTGCAGTGAATCTGGGACTTCTGGGGGGCGAGGCCCGTTGCCGTATGTCGCCGTGCTTACTGACTCAGTCCATGGAGTGATGGACCTCCCGAAGCGTTTCGTGCCCCCGACTAGTGTGGGATGGAGCAGTACATGCAGGTAGATGAAGAGATTACTCTGCCAAGCCCGATTTGTGTCACAGCCACATCCTGGACCTTCAAAGTCATCTCTTTGGAGTCTTTAAGTGACTCTTCAGGGCCTAAGGGACTTTAAGCTCAGATCTCAAAACATCTCAAAACTATTTGAAGCGCTTGGATTTGGTGTTTTTGTTTGAGCATGTTTGAGCTTTGATGACTTGCTGGCCTTTGGGATCTACAGAGTACTCCCAGCCCTGGGTGCGTTTCTGGTCCGAAGTTTGGAAGTTTTGGACTCCAGACCGGGCGGATTCTGCCTCCAGACCTAGGATCTGGATCCAAATCCCAATTACTTGGCAGGTATAAACAGCCTAGGGTCACGTTCTCTCCTCCAACGTCAAGAAAGGAGAACCTCGGACGTTGATGCTGGGTCGAAGGCCCCAGCTTGGTTCTTTGTACACTTATTGAAGTATAGTATACCGTTCTGTGGCCGATTGACGCTTTGTTGATATGTGCTGAGGGAGCCATCTCCAGCTATCCATTTCCATTTGCATTTTTTGATATTTGTGACTCTTGGGAACATGTACTGCATGCTTCTCGCACCCCTTATCAACTCGATTGCACCGACCCTGCGTCCAGTTGACACTGAAGGTTGCAGGTGGCTAACCCGTCAACTGTCCAGCAAGTGCTCCGGTGCATTCGTTGAGGAATGCTGGGGATCCGAATTCGCTGACGGAACCTGTTTGGAGAAGCGAGCCCGTCGGCGTCTTCGTCCACGGACGCAGAAACATCGTCCACGTCCCAGACGGTGGCAGTGGATCAATGAAACCGTCGATGTGGGACCGCCACGATCGACACCCCACGTCGATTCATCAGGTTCTTAGTGGACCTCGACGGCGGGTCTTGTTCGCCCGTGCCAAGGGCCGTAGGGTCGACGTCGGATGTCAAGAATGTCGAGGCGAGCGAAGGAAACGTGGGAAGCCAGCAGCTGGGAAGCCAGCCTCATGGACGCTCATAGCCCTGGATGGTCACAGTGCAAGCCTTGTTCGCAGAGCACATGGCGTGCAGATTGGCCAAATCGGAGGGCCGCGAACCGACCAGAAAGAAGGGAAATAGACACAGAACACAACAGAACCCATTCGGGACAGATTTGATAGGTTTTACTTTCTCCACAAAAGTCGATGGGGGAATGGGGTGCAAGATGTCGGGATGATGAGGGTTTGTTTAGGTGAGAATGTAACTGGTGTTTGTCTTTACAAATTGGAGAATGTAACGGGCATGCACTTTTTTTGAGCATAAGCAGAGTATATGCATCAGTCTGAAGCAAACAATATCGGTTCCTTTGACTCCACACTATGCAGGCATTTGACGGACGTGCGCAGGCGTTTATTCTGAAACATGTGTCGACACAAGGACGTCCGTTTGAACGTGTCGACACATAACAACAATACAACTAGCACACTAAGAGGATCTATGACCTCTCTCCCTCTCTCTCTCTCTCTGCTCCCAGCGGCATGAGCAGTCATGAATGCTCAAGAGGATACTTGTGTGACATCACTACTGTAGTGTGACACTTGGACTGGCATCTGTGTGTGTGGATAAAACCATGCATCACTTCGATTCAGAAGACTGCCATTGGCTTTGCGACGTTGACAGAGTCTCTCGGTCCGGTGCACGACAAAAGCGAAGAAGCAGCGAATGCTGGACAATTGGACTGTGTTTGTTCGTGAATCTACAGAGAAGATGTCGGACATACAGTGACAACTTTCATTGACCATCTCTCCATCTCAAGGGACCGCAAGAGTGTATCCCTGCACGGAAGAGTGAGAATCACATAGTCCGTTGCCAGAGTGACCCCTTGGATGAACATGGTGTCCAGGGTGATGTCCATTGCACAAGATCAAGCTTCAAGGGTGGCGTCCATTGCGTCCAGTGAACCTGCGGTTTTGGAGGCCATCGCTATTAGAATCTTCGCTCTAGCGAGACATGTTCACTTTAAAGCGGCCTTTTCCATCTTCAGGCGGAGGCCAAAACCTTCTTTGAGTCGGCCTCCAGCCCCTTGGTCTCTGAGGTCGGGTTTTGGATGTAGCAGGGAAGAAGACCACTGTGCACACGGACGGGGGGACATCGCGGGATTTGCAAGTCTATCTCAACAAAAGTGTCTCATAGTTTGTTTAGTCATCAAAAAAGGCCACTCCCAATGTGAGTAGAAACCAAACGGTTTGGCCATAAAGACCAACCAACGAGATCCGCAATCGGTAGACGCACCGTATAAGGACCACCCGTTAGCAGGTGTGGAGCTGCACCTCTTGCCATCCTTTTGGCCGGTCATGACCCAATGAAAGCTCAGAAACGTTGGTGTTTGGTGGTTGGACTGAACAGTTCTTTTCCTTAATGTTTTTTGTAATTGATTTGTATAAGAAGGATCCTTCCAAATGAACATGTCCTATTCACCTGCTAAGCAAAGATTGAAAGAATGATCCTTCCAAATGAACATATGGTATTGACCTGTCAAATGAACATGTCCTATTCACCTGCTAAGCAAAGCTTGATGTGGGCTTTGTAAATGTTTCTTTTTCATTCATCCCAAATGTTGGATCTGAGCTATTCACCTGTTTAATCAGAAGTATGTAACAGTATGTACCGTGCCCAAGTGTTCATGTGTATTCCCATGTATTCCCCATTAATCTGGGCGGAGGGACAGCTACCCTAGGCGGTGGTGTGTTGACCTTGTTGGACGTGGATAAGAAGGCGGGAGGAGACACGTGTGGGAGGAGATGTGACGCAGGGTTGAGGACGGGGAGCTGGGTACCTGTTGAGGAGGGTCTTTGAAGCTCAACGTGCTCCGTCGCCCTTGCAGTTTTTGCATGCACTCTGAAAACGCTTCAGATCGGATTGTTCCAGGGGTACACCCTGAAATCATCGAAGTGGATGCCCTCACCTGGGTCATACAGGAACATGGTCATATTCCCCCATGCCATCCTCGTAAACATGATGATTTCAGGAAGAGTGTGGCCCTGTAAATGGTTCGTTTGCCATGCTCGTTTGCCATCCCTTCTCTCAACTTCAACTGCAACAGCTAATTTTACCACTGGCTTTTGCCAACTCAACCATTGAACCTTGGGTTTACCAAGGCGAACCATTCCAATATCACACAAAGCATTCAGAATGTGACCAAGCCAGTTTCCACTCCACAAGTCCCCCGATTTTGCTGTAAACCGCAGGTCTTCTCAACAAGTTCACAGCAAAGCCCCTGGGTCCCTCGGTCCTAAGCAGAGATTGAACATCATCCGAGGTGTTCGATTGACAGGATCAACGGCGCCATTGGACTTCCCAAATCAGACATATTTTTCCAGGTCATATCCAGCCCAAGTCCGAAAAGTATGTCATACTTTTGGTCATACTTTGGTCATACATAGATTGAGGTCATACTTTGGTCATACTTTGGTCATAGGTCATACTTTGGTCATATCCCTCTCATTCCCAAGTATGTCACGTCCTTTCGCCGACCCGAAGACCATCAGGCTGCTGTCTTGGCCACTCGCTTCAAGCGCTGGGCCTCGACGGTGCAACCCGGGCCCAGGCGCAGTGACGACGTGAAGGATCGGAAGCGACGAACGAAACAAGGTGCCTCGCTTCTAGTAACAAGTGCCTTATTAGTAACAAGAAGCTACTAGAAACAAGTGCCTTACTACTAGTAACAAGAAGAAACTTAATTAGAATTGTATTTACTAGCAAAGGAATCTAATAATGATCGTGTCTTCCCCACGCGAGGATCAGAGTTCCAGACACTGAGGATTGTGATGTCATGCGCTGGTTGGGACAACTGTTCACCTCGCTTTTCGGTCATGCGCGGCGCTCCCTTTAGCCATCATGGGATCCATCAGAGTGTTCCTGAGATGGGCATGTGGTGACATCCAGAATCGGGAAGTTCATGGAATTTCATGATTGTGTGGCGATTGCTGTTGGTGTCTTGTTGAAAACCTCTTGAATCCTTTCAGCTGAAAGGTGTTGCATTCGGGCCTACCTATGTGCTGGGGCAACCGATCCAAGGTGGATCCAATCAGACTGAGACTAGCTTCTCGGAACTCCACAAGAATTGCAACCAAAAACTATGTGCATGATCTCTCAATTCCCTCCATCCAGACTCCATCCACGAAGTCGACAACTCCCCGACCTCACAAAAAGAAAGACGAGACACCACCCAACGACCTTGGCTTTCCTTGCGCATCGCTATGGCTCCCTCCCGCCGACCAAGGCCGTTCGGTTCGACCGCGTCCGACTCGGAGGCAGCTCTTCTTCCAGTCCGGCGACTCGGTGGACCGCTCCAAGGCGACCGGCGACTCACTCACTCGCTCGCGGTGGAGCGCGGGCCCACGCGGGGAAACCCCGGTCGCGGGTGCCGCCGGGACGCCGGGACATGGATGGGATGGGATGGATGGATGGGGCGGATGGATGGACGAGATTGGATGTTTTTGCGTGTTTGTGTGGAGGGAAAGAATTCTGGATTTCTCAAGAAAGGTCCCGGGATTTGTGAAGATGTGTGATTTCTGGGATTGAAATGCTAGTTTTTGGAGGGGATGAAACTGAGGTTCAACCCCCCACATACTGAGGTTCAACCCCGTTCACAGGGGCAAATGTCCTTTACTGGGTACCGGGATTAAGTCGTCTCGGGTGACTAAACGCCAGCACTTGTAAGGGACAGCGTTTGTGGAACATCACAATCTTCTTGTTTTCCTTGGCCATGACCGCGCGCCCTGGCGCAAGGTGGTCCCCCTAGCGGACTTTGCCCACATCTGCCGGAAGCCGCTGGGACCTGCGAGGAAGAAGCCAGGAGAGAAGCCAGGAGGAGGTGTGAGACATGCTTCGTCAGAGTCAGAAGATGACTCCTTTAGAGTCTTAGAGTAGAGGTGCAGGTCACCCAAGGCTGTTTGATTAAATCTTAGATCTTGTATCTAATGAATGTGTACTTTGCTACCTCACTTTGGAGGGCTTAATGATGCTTGCTGTTGTGCCTGAAGGTTTGTTTGATATTGGTATTGGTTTTGGACAGACATAATAAGGAGTCGACAGTCGGAGTAGACGGAAAAGAGATCACCATGTTCTCAAAACCAGTGGATTAGTTAGCGGTCTTATGCAATCCTCTACTACATATAACAATATGTACATAGTTATGTAATGTATGCTTGGACGGTTCAACCATTTCCCCATTCAATCTTTAATTTGGTATTGGGGTCCCACTTCTCGGAATGTCATTTAAAGCAACAATCCCTTTCAGAACCTTTGCCAAAGCACAGGGAACAGGGCGGCCTGACCCACGATTTGAGACCAAGAAACTTAGATCAGATAAAAGCAAGAGATCAGACCGAATACTGCTTGAGACTCAACCACTCTATAGATCAGACCCCCAATCCCACTGCTTGAGACCAAGAACACAGTGAAACCTCAGAGGTCGGTCGGTGGTTTTCAAGACATCATGGAGTGTCATTTACCCAGTGCCATTGACACAGAGGTGGGTAGACACCCATGTGTTTTCATGATGGGTGCAGAGGTGGACGTCTCACCTCTGAAGCCATTTCTTCTCACTTCTGAAGCCACTGTAAACCACGGACCTGCGCGTCACGTTTCTCGCGTCTCCGTCGCCGTTTCCGCCCGTCTCGAGGCATGGCTTTGAGGCCTCCGATGTCGAGATGGCCGAGGTCTTCGGCTGCTTGGGACGAGAACCGGGTGGGGTGGCAAAACTGTCTCAGTTATTTTTTTTTTTCGTTTGTCGTTCCGTTAACAAGGTTGATCCCATCTTTTATAAAAGTAGGGGGGAGAGGGGCCTACGTAGTGTTTGTTTTCTAGGTGGAAGAGATGAACTTCAGAGTCTTTGGTGTTGTTGGTGCGGTTGCCCAAGTGTTTGTTCTTTTCGCTTTTTGTCTTCCATGTGTAAAGCAAGGTGTTTCCTTTTTGAAGGCGCGGAATCGCTCCTAAACGTTTGAGGTGTTCAAAGGTGTCATGTGAGAGAATCAAACCAGGACCGATGCAAGAGTCTCACATTGACACAGACCTTGACATCAAAGTGGCACATGCTTTGTCGGTTCAGAGCACTTTCTACAATTCTACAATTCTACAATTTAACATGATTAAAGGGTTTTCTAAGATAATTTAAGGGTTTTCCACTTGGAACCTTTTCCAATCTCACGTCTCCGCATCCGGCAACTGCCGCTTGCACCGGCGCGTGGGAATCGGCCAGTCACCGGCAGATAGATAAATCGAATGAGAGAGAGGATAGAACTGTATTTCTGTTTATGTTTGGTATATCAAATGTTCAGCATCACTGAGTACAGGTCAGATTAGAGTAGGACTGAAAGAAAGATACGACCGATCAATATATGATTATCAGGAAATCGACAGAGAGACAGAGACACAGGTGGTTAGATAGATGCACAGGTATATTAGATGGATGAATGGATGGATGGATATTTACATAGATGGATGTCTATACAAAAAAAGGGAATAGGGATAGAAAGATAGAAAGATAGATCCACAGATAGGATGCACCAGCAAAAATACGGCTATGTGAAACTATAAGTGACAACAAGTACACTTGAACAGCCACCGGCGAGGTCCCGCGGCCCAACGGCCACCGCGGCCGACCTTCCGACCGTGACAGGCCACCGCAAGACCCGCCGACCGATGACCTGGAGCGATCAACCTGGAGCGATAACAACACAAACTCTTCCCTATAGGGCTCCAACCATCTCAGAAGGTGGTTAGACCCCCACATCCACCCCAACCATCTCAGGTGGGCCAGCCCTGGCCACCAATAAGTCGCGACTCGCCGAAGCGGCGACCGGTCTCAGCTGCCGACCACTGGCCGGGAGTGATCGTACCCCGTGCGAATTTGGGTTGTCTTGTGATGGAATGATAAGTGACCGCATCGATGCAGATAGACACAGATATAGGAACAGATATAGAGTCCTAGGTAGATTGACACATTAGACAGTAAATAGATAGACAGACAGACAGACAGACGTGCAGATAGATAGATCGATGGATAGAGAGATATAGAGGTACAGATAGAGATATGGATAGAGAGATCGCAAGGTATAGATACAATGGTTGATTGAGATGTAGTAGATAGAAAAATGGGTAATTACAAAGATGACAAAGATGGATATGTACACAGTTCTACATAGGCAAAGACAGGTATGGTTAGATGTAGGTAGAACTATGGGCAAAATTGAAGATACAGATACATGAAGAAGCATGTATACAGATGCAATGTCGGTAGATAGATTTAGAAGTGCACAGGCAACGCTACGCCGACCCCAACAACAGGTCTGTGTACATGTATTGCCACCATGTTACCTAGTTAATTAAGAGACATCAAGACGTATATAGGCACACTGATTGGGATTATAACGACAGACGGACAAACACACAGATAGAGATACAACATTGGCAGGTACGATTTCAAGAACTTCAACGGCTGGAATTGTTGATGACTCGGCAACGCCGTGGATACGCATATATGAGCAATAGCATATTATATGTACGCCGTGGATGCGTTTATGTGCCTCGTCCGTGGTGCCGCTCTATCCACTCAGAACTTCAGCCAAGTGCATCTTCTATTTTTCCTCCTCGTGTTCACGCTTGCAGTGAGGCTTCCGTCAGGACAGGAATGTCTTCTCAGAAACACCAACTGTTCCATTTGTTTGCAACCCATTCATCGCTCTCGGGCTGTTTCCCCTTTACTCTGATCAACCTGGATCTGAATCTCAGATCGGGCGTGGCTTTCGCATGCAGCCGAAACAACTTCTCAGGGTCCGCGGAGCAATCCTCAATATTGAGACAGAATTTTGATTGAGCCCGTGGTTACTTGAGCCATCTTTTGCCAATGGGTGCGTATCAGCTGCAGCCAACAAACATGTTTCAGTCGCAAGCCACCAACAGTGTCAGTATGAAAGCATAATGAGCCTCTGTGATCATCTGTGTGTGGTGTCCGGGTGCCATTGGGGCTTCAAGTGGCGCTGCCAAGCGTCACAGTGGGGCAATTGCTCGTCACTTGGATGGCACAGCCAGGGCTCGCTCAGACCGACGCAAGCGGCGGAGGCGTCAGCTCGTGGCCTCCGTCCTACGGCGTTGACAGCCTCGCTTCGCACGAGACCGTCGCTGGCGACCGCATGCAGCGTCACCTGCTGGAGCCAGGACTGGGGCCACCACTTGAATGTTACATGCCAGATCTCTTTGCAGCTTGTGACTCGCCTGAAGGGAAACGTGCCTTTGTTGACGCCGTCAACTCTACCCTCACCCGGGACTCACCCCACGCGATGGCTGCTATATGCGTCCCAAGACCTGGCACCACCAGGAAGGCACGCACCAGCGCTGTTACTGCTCAACTGCTGGCTTCTGCACCCTCGTCATTCCTGCCTGCGGCCCCTTCGCGCGAAATGCCTGACCGACTTCCCAATGTCGGTCAACAAGGCAGTGACGCGGATGTCTTGGCCCAGGCTATAAGCAGCATACAGTATCTTGCGGCGCGTAAAGGCAATTTGTAGCCGTGGGACTAAAACTTGGCCAAGCACGTTCTGAACCAGAAAAAAAATCAGACCTTTGCGGTAAACCTGTGACCCTGGACTCCGACAGGTGCAGCGGTGCTTGCGCGAGAAGAACCGCATGTTCGCGATTTAGGACTGCATCATGTGGGGGCGGTCAAGGTGCCCAAGAGGTCAAATACTATAGCTGTGTGCATAGACACTTGGGCACACCCACTGCCCACTGCCAGCTACACTCATGGGCACGCTGCTTGGTAGCTCGCATGTGCCTGGCTTTGTTTGCAAGTGTATAACACGAAGGCTTTCTAGAGCGAAAGGTTTCCGACTAGCTGACTAGCTTGTCCTTTCTGGTGGCTAGCAAAGAGTGCTTCTCAGGGATCCTGAATGCCGCTTTGCAAGTTGTTTCAGCTGCCTGACGACGATGGCCCCTTGCCCCGTTGGGCCGACATCGTGGAAGATGATGTCGTCATGATGATACGTCGGTTTGGGTTTTTGCTTGCACATGTGTAACCCTGTTTGTTTCCACTTCCAGTACACATGTGCAAGGTGGTTTTCTTTTACTACACAATCCTTACACCTTACACGACCATTCCGTCACATGTCACATTGCGGTCTTATTAGACCGCAAAAAACATGAGTTCGAACTGTATTTCAATATTTACATGTTCAGTTCTCTCCATCAACATGCGAGTCAGCAACAATTTTATAGCGTGATGTGAGCACATTGTTGCTGTTTGCAGGATACGATTTGTGATGTCAAATTTGCGTTTTCATTGAAATCTCAAAGAAAAGGAACGTATTTTCCAAACTTCCAAACAACAACAAAAACAACCAAACAACAATGTCACACTGCGAACAGTTTTAAGTAAGTTAAATTGCACAAATTTGACCACCCTTGTAAAATTGTGTCAACGTGAAATGTGTTAAACTGATTTACAACCTACTATATATGTATTGTGTTTGCAGTAACTAACTTGCAAATGGTTTAGCAAAAAAGACTTACCAAGTAGGTCTGTCATGTGCAGATGGCCTCGGCTCTACGCCGTGACCGGCACTGCCCGGTTTCACCGGTGCGGACGACGCGTCGTCCGCGACCAAGGCTTTTGCGACGTCACGGAGTCCATGGGTGGTCTCAGAAGCTGGCAATCAGAATTCGTTAGTCGTCAGGGGCAACCGACATGTTTGTTTGTGTTGTGTTCCTATTTGTTTTACTTTTGTTGTACTTGTGTTGACTCTTGAGTCGGTTTCATTATTGGTTTTTGGAAGATCGTGATTTGTTTTTTTGGGGGGGTGGGGCACTGCAGATGAGAGTGAATGAACATAATGAAAAAAACAGTGAACCAGTTGGAGGATGACAGCAAGTGCGTATATTTGGCTACGACGGCAGCTTTCACTGGCAGCTTGCACATCTCTTGCAAGTTTCATCACAATTGTGAGAAAACCACAAGAACTCTTTCTCACATCCACAACTGTGTCAACAATGTTTTGACATATTTTAAGGCTCTCAACCATCAACCTTCAATCTGCTTGCAGCTTGTCCCTACGTCCAAGTTGGACACGCAAGTTGGTTGGGCACCAAGCTCTCTGGGGTTCCCTAAAGACATTTGTCCACAACTCTCTGCTACAAACGGTTTCCACATCCCTGAAAACTTCTAGCACAAACACCTCCGTAACTCGACGGCATGTCAACCGCTGGGGACAGTCATGTCACTCATTCCACCGCACCGGTGGGGACGACCGAGGATCGCATGATCTACTCTTCCTGGAACCTGATCTGCAGGTGCGAGAGCAGGAGGCATGGCAGAAAGCGCTTGGCGGAACGAACCGACACTCGATGTGGCGCCCCTAGTGGACATGTGCCTAAGTGGACATCCACATGTTTAACAAATATGCAAATTGGAGAACAATTCCAGAATATACGGTACAACATGATAACACGTGCACGTGATCATGTGTGTGTGTTTTCCTGCTCAAACGAAATCATGTTGTATAATTAAGAAAACATCAACACAGTCCACTTGTGCTAAAGAGATGGTTCCTTCCTTACCGGTTGCCAACATGTTTGTGTGTTTATTGTTTTTTTCAAAACATTGTATTTTCAAATTGACATCAAACTCCTTAACATTCATTTCACTGGTTTGGCACTTGATTTGATTTAAAATTTAGATTCGATTGATTTGTCTCATGCAGTACCATTGATTGGACCGACCACGTCGTGTGAATGTCAGTTCCACGGCGGCACGGGTTTCTTGGTGTTGAATTGCGAAGTAAGATATCACTATCACCAGCAAATGCTGTGGGTGTTGGATCTACTGCTGTCCATTTATATTCAGGGTGATACGCAGCAGTGAAAGGTATGGTATTTGCACAAGACATAATGAGTCTTTCGATTAGTTTTGGGTTCCGGACCCGAAATCTGAAGGAAATTGCTTGATGTTTGGTGCTTTATCCAACCAACCCTACTTTAAGTTTGTCAACTTTGGGCATATGAGCTCCACCAACAGGTGTTTGATTCTGATCCACTTTTGTACCTAACCTAAAGATCCTAAACTAAGTGCACAAATTTGTTGGATGCTGAATTGTAGTTTTAAAGCGTTACGATTTCCAAGAGCAATTGATTCAATGATATTATATAGATTATTTGTGAAACCCTGACACCAATTGATTGTTTTGCTAAGGATTCTAGACTACGGCATCAGGCTCATGTTTCTGTAATGGTCTTGGAAGGCTTGGGGGACCACCTGGCCATGTCTCACAATAGACTCCCAAATCACCACCCTAGAAAGCAAGCGCCTACTTGTATTATTGGTTGAGGGTCAAGCACTTATGACGGAGCCAGATTCTAGATGGGTGCAGGAATATCTTTGTGGGTCTGTTCGTAAATCCACGCAGAATGATCTGGAATGCAATGTGTGGCGATAAGGTATACTGATACTTATTGAATGTGTTTGAGACTCCAGGTGAATCTAAACTAAACATTTAACGCCAATGCAATTTCTTGGGTGTTTCCTAGTGACAACAGGTACCTAGAGACCTACTGTAAAGGCTTCAAAATAGCTTGTTGGAGGGTCCTGGTGTACAGATAGATTGATAGTTCCAGAATTATGAAGCTTTTGTGCTATTTTAGCCTCCAACAAGCTATTTCAAGTTAGATGTTAGATGTTAGATGAGGATCGTGTTATTTCAGTTGGCTGTTTCCCGGCCTTCACCGCCAGGAGCAGCGCCTGAAGATCCTGCGGATGGGGCAACGGGCCAGCGCCCCAGCATGCTTTTTCGTGAGGGCATGACGACCGGCTCCGAACAAAAAAAACATAATAATAACAAATGGGGAGGAGCTTGAGCTGAAAAAACAGGTGGGGCAGTTGTGAGGAGTGGTGGGGCAAGTTGGGGAAGTGTATGATATTTTTTTTTGTTGGACATGTTGGAGCTCAAAGGTCCATGGTTCGTCGTTATCACTCCCAGAAGTTGCTCACCCTTCCCTATCAAGTCCTTCCACCTACATCTGGGTATGTATTTTAATATCAGATAATATGGAGACTGCCGGGGTAGACGCCGGGGCAGACGGGTCTATTTTCTTTCTTCCAGGGATTCGTTGCCTGGGAGATCTCCCTAATTGAGCTACACACCCATCTAGATAATCTTAAGATGACTCAAAGACTTGCCAGCTGGAACCTGAAGAAACATCAGAGATGACCCGAACAAAAGAAGCAGATCCTTTTTCTACCATTTGGGAACTATGTGGATGCAAGTTTTGGAGCGATCTCTTCCAAAACCTAGGCATTCCAAGTTTCACTGGGAGTTTGTGTTCATGTAGTGGCTGTACATACCCCCTATAGCTTACCTTACCTTCCGACCACATCAGCCCGTCAGCCCCATCATCTACCGATTCCAAGAGCTTCACCGACCAGCCAGGAGCAAAAGCAAGAGCTCATGGCGGAAGTCTTCCAACAGGCGAACAGCGTAGCAGCGTGACACACGGATTGCGCATACAGCGTTGCGCCGAACATGTGTTCGAAATCTCGGGAAGCACAGGCAGTTGGGGTGGAGAACAGGGACTTGGGGGGGCTGAGAGCAACTCACATGGCCAACCCAAGATCTTGAACACGGTCAGACCCACACCGAAATGAATTCTAAATGCCAGCTGCCCCCGCCCGCAGCCGATCCCTAACTATCCTCAGAAGTGACATCTCTAGGGGGCACCATAAGCGGCCACAACAAGATGGAGACAAAAGTAATCAACACATATTGTTTGATGGTTAATTGATGGAGGAACTCGTATTTTTTCGCGATGTTGTTTTAACCTGTTTTTGATGTGTTAAATGCCTTTGGTGGCTTTTCGTAGCTTCTGTTCGCTGGTGCCCTTGATGAGCAATCTGCCAGTGCCGCTGCGAGAGGAGCATTGTACACCAGGTGGCTGTAAAGCTGTGCCTGCAGTGGCCAGTGGCCAGTGAGCACTGTGCTGCAACTTTCGAGTCTGATTGTCTGTTTGCTTTGAGGATGACTGCTGAGGCTGTTGTCTTCCCCGTTACTGTAAGATCTACAGTTGCCTCAGGTGGTGTGGTTGACGGTTAGATTCTTAATATAATATGCTGCGGGCTTTGGCCAATGTAGCACGCACGGTCCTCAAAGCCGTGGCTTTGGGAACCCCGGCTGAGATACAAGTCATAGACATATTCCACAATGTGTGGGGCCGTGACAACATGTCCAATGTGTGGCAAACTGGAGTTAGAGGATGATTTTACACAAAAAACACAAGGCAACTCACCAGCCACTCTTGTTTGACTAATTAAAAGGGATGGACTCATAGTTTCGGATTGTTTTATATGGGTGTATGATGTAGGGAGACTGGCCACCAATGAGCAGACTAAGTCTAATTCCAGACACCCCCTCTGTCTGCAGTTGCTTCTCAACCGCCCAGCCCGGTGTTCGGTCGACTCCCTTGACCCACGCCGCCCTCTACGACCGAGACCCTCAGCTCTGCAGGACCGAGACCGAGGCGTGTCAGATCGACATCGTTTAGCTCCCAGGCCTTCGGTCCCGTGAATGAGGGGAAGATGGCGCGCGTTCGAAGTCACCGTGTGAGAAGGCAGCGAAAGGGAAGATGGTGTCCTTTGCTTTACGAAAAGGGGGGTTGTTCATGTTCAATCATGCTCATGGGCTCATGAGTTGTGGTTGATTGATTATAATTGTTTGCAATTTTTTCGCTGAAGGAGCCGGAAATTCGATGAAGATGACATTTGTTGCTTTTGTTGGTATGGGGAGGAGGATGGACAGTGGCTGCAATTTCTTAAGTGCTGCAATCTACCTTAGTACTGTACGATCATCATCCACTGTGGCAGGCACGGTCCAAAGTTGTGATCATAAGCATGAACCTCATCCAGAAGGAGATTAACGACATCCACTCCCCTGTTTAGTAGTGTCAACTGTGCCCACTTTCCCCACGAAGAGGTTTTCGCTTTTGTTTTTTGCCCCACACCTTGCCGCGGTTGCTAGGAGGCCATCATCAAAATCTCCAGTTTGTAGATGAGAAGTTTCGCAAGTGACAGGTCTGATTTCAGGCACACTCTCAATTTTATTTACATTGGTTCATTTTTTGCCATGCAACCATAGAACAGGATTCCCATCAGCAGTCCCAATTGGATTGTACCTGCTGACCTTGGCCACTACTATGTAAAAAAGATGGCCACTCCGCTCGCCAGTGTGGCGCGTCATGTCGACCTTTGGTCGGGAGGCCTTGGCAAGCGAGGAACTTTGAGCAACTGCCCAAGGCCAGGAGTTCCGGGTTCTGCACAGAGAGTCACTCTTGAGACATCTAGACGCCGATGTCACGGGTGCACAGTGCACAACGGTTTTATGTGGTTTTTGGAGGAGGACCGCCAGCTGCAGCCCTGCTGACAACCCTAATATATAATGCAAACTTATTCGATATTCACGATGCCTGATAGTTGGTTCATTTGCATATGCCATCATATATGCCGTATACCTATATATGCCTATTACTCTAAGTTTGGAAATGTTTGGAAAGAACATGTTCAATCGACTGACTCTATAGTTTCTTGACATGAAAGTATATATAATAGTGAAAACTAGCTGAGGTATTAGCCAGAAGTAAGCTACCAAAGGTCGAATCCAGATCTCCTGATAACTTCCAAACGCGAATCGTTTCACTGGGAATCGTTCTCTACCTGTACACTAAGAAGCTATGAGTAGTAGGCAAGATATGTCATACGATCGTCACTGCTCCGCAGATCGTGTGCGAAAAGAAGCAAGACTGGCAGCTGCAGGAGGAGCGCCGTACCGAACAGGCGCGGCACCGCCGTCCGCCCGGCGCGGGACGGAAGACGTGGCTGGCTGGTGGTGTTTGTCGAGTCAGTGGAGATGGGGTGTGGAGTGGGGTGTGTGACTCCATGGCATGGTAGTCACCATTGATATAGCGCTGTTTTTTTGTTGTGCATTTCATGGTGCTTCTGTGTGTTTTTTTAGTTTTTGTCGCACGTTGAAGTGCCAGCAAAAGCTGCAAAGTGTGCAGCTGCAAGAAAACATGGGATGCTGGCTCCAAATGAACCATCATTCCGTGCAAGGCAAAGGATGACAGCAGTTCCAATCGCTGAGACATGACCTACACCAGTCCAGTCATATATAAAAACCCTTAGGTTGCTAGGTCAACCCCCTCCTTTTGAGCTTCAAGGCCGGTGTAGGCCGGTATGATTTGCTGGCCCTATTTGGTAGAGGCAAGGTTAACGAGGGGGCACTAGAGGTACTTACTCAGAAGAGCCATTGGAAGGCTGGGTCGTTGCATTCTGTGCCAGCAACTGTTTGTGGAGGTTAAGTTATGACCTTAAGCCAGTTGCTATTTGGGTGTGTCCTGCAAGCAGCTCTGTGTCTATTGACAACGGGACTTTTTGTGTTTCACTCGGGCTGGCATCCGCCCCTTTGGGCAATGGAACAGATCAAAATGTTGACATGAGCCACATCAAACACCTGATAGCATGACATGTGATCAATAGGTTTTCGACACAGCTCGCTGCATGTTTGTCCGACCAGAGTGCCTTTGCGTGTTGTTTTTTTTTTTTTTTTAAATTATCGTAGGTACTTTGAGGTCCCAAGTTTGAGGATGAATCCTTCCAGATTCTGGATTCCTCAATAGTCCCAGTGGATCCCAGTTGCTCTATAAAAACCAGGATTTCTAATTCTAGGTCGGTTACTGGAGCCATTGGTTACCAGCTCTGGTGATTTGCCTGGATGCCCTTAATAGTAGTGAACCGGCCGCAAGTGGAGAAACAAGACTTCCAATGAAACACAAGACTTCACTGGATGCCCTGAAAATAGTGGGCCTATATGAACCACTGATCGACATAGTCTTATAGTCTATATAGTTATATTACGACCCTAAACCAGAGAAAACCCCCGGAGAACACCACCGCGGACCGTCACCGGCGCGTCACCGGAACTGGGCCCCTGGAGGCTCGGTCCGAGTTCCTCCTCTACCTCCGCCGGAGCTACGGCAACGAGGCACGCGAGCGCCGTTGGCGGTGTCGGAGTCGAAGAGAAAACTAAGAGCTGCATCGTAGGGGGTAGATGACCTCCCTCTAAGGTAGGTAAAAAAACAGAAGCAACAAATAACACACACATTCAACAAAACACATGTTTGGTGGGGGAACAGTTTATAGGTATATAGACCTCTCCTGTGTATAGAGTTGTTAGTGTTGAAGGTGTGATGATCTTATCAGTACAACAAAATTTCTGCACTTTGTGTTCAAACACTGGATCGAGTGTCTTTCGATTCCTTCGTTTGATTCGATTTGCCAGAAACTAATCGACCTTGAGGGGCTGAATTCAGATCTTCACCTTTTTCGATGCATGAAACATGTGTTGCAGCTCTTTTGTGTCTCCCATCGACTCCCGGTTGGTTCCCTTGCGGGTCGCGAGTCCATGCAAGGGCAAGGACCGGTAGATAGGCACATATAGGCACAATGCCTTCAGAGTAGGACCCCCCATCAAAAGCTTTCGGACCCAAACGGTGCATGGTGCCCCAATTTAGCTGGTGTTCTTTGGACCCCAATCTACGAAGACATCTAGCCAGTGCCACCTTTCCTCTGAACACCTGTGTAAACAAAAAAAATCTCAAAAACCCATCAAGAATCCCAGAAGCTCGCGGTGTTTCTTCCTTCCCGAACGCAGGAGTCACACCTCACGCCCACACCGCTCCGGTCGCCTCTCACGCTTGCTTCCTTCCGGTCGCCTGCCGGTCCGGCACCAGATCCGGGCCTGGCGACGGGCTTTAGACCCCAACGCCACGTTCCGTGGGGGGCGCCCGGTGAACGGAGGAAGGTTTTGGTGGAGCCCGGTTTCGAAGTGACGCGAGAAATATCCCAAAAGAGCTCGTTGTGGAAGAACTCGTTGTGTTTTTGTTCTATGTTTATTTGCAGATTCTTTCTTATAGTTGGAAGACTGGTAGACTGGGATGAGTTTGTTTGTGTGGGAATACTGTTGCAGACTGCAGATTTATAGATTTGGAAGCAGAGTGTATTTTGGGAGGTGCTGGTTTGTCAAGAGTACTAGACTTCCAATGATTTTGGTGCGCAGGTGACGTCGTGCGCCCGCGCAATTTATCGTGTGTTGTAGGTGTAGGATGATATGGTTTTATGATGTTTCATGTGATTTACAGCACTTGTTCATCGGTCATTGACATCTGTTGTCTCACAGTCAATGTGCAAGACTCACCACAGGAACGGACAGAGGCACCAGTGTGCAGATCTCTATGATCTCTCTATGTATCTTTGTTCTAACTCACGGGAAAGCTATGCTGCGGCATGTGGTTGTCTTTGACCAACACATTAATCACAGAGAAACTAGGCAAACAGAAACTGCTTCAGTCCGGCGCACTGTTGGCGGAACAAACCAGAAAACACATATAACAAAAGAACATGCAGAACAAGCAAATCCTCACTTCTTGGCATATTGGCTGGCTGAATTGTGCATCTTGAAGAAAGAAGAACATGACATGTATATTATACAAAAGGCCTAGGTTCATTGAGAGCCGTCCTTGTTGTTCGGTAATTCTTTTGTATTCAGTGACAGTATATCGAAGATTATTGAAGGTTTTAGCACGATCATTCTCCTTTTTGTAACACCGCCGGAGCTGATGAGTGAAGAAAGACGAGGAAAGATGAGCCTACACATCAAAAACATTGACGATGGCCAATAGACTTTCTGAAAGATTCACATTAGAATCAAACTCTGGGAAGAGGCACACAATTTCGCAGGTTATACCTGTATGATCTAAATGAAGAATACTTAACAACCCCCCAATTGGTAGACCTACAGGGCTCACCATGGATTTTAACTCAACTTCACCCACTTCCAGAACACCCAATGCTGAAACTCACTCGCTGCGTCCGCACCGTCCAAGCGCGGTCAAGAGCTCGGTCCCCGTTGCGCGACCGGGTGTTCGCCTCCGTCCTTCTCTCCGAGGTTTGACGCTGACGCAACTCCGGAAGTTCTTCCACTTCGAGGCCGGTTTGCGGGATCGCCCGGGGCCCAGTGAATTGGTCGGGACGCTGTCGGATCTGGATCCGGACACGGGGTCAAACACCGGACCGGGCCGGACAGATGAGGAAGAAGGGGTCACCGGCGAAAACCGGTAACGTCGGTGATGGTCGGTTGGGATGGATCGAGAAGGAAAACTGCAGATTGGAATGAAGAATGGTTTGGATATGTTTGGATTCAAGATGTGTTTGATGTCTTGCTTCATCATTTAGCAGCTAAAGCATGGCCACAAAAGGCCGATAATGCGTTTGTTTGTGGGGTCGACTTGATGTTTGGCTGGGAGAAAGTACCGAGGTGTTGACCAAGCTGCGCTCTGGCGGTCCTTGGACAAGGCGGGGTGGCTCGGTTTTCCAGCGTTCCACTCTTTGTTCGCTCATGAGCGTGGAAAGAGGTTTTCACAGGAACGACAGGAACAGACTACAAAGGTGAAGTGAAGTTAAGAGCTTTGTGAGATATGATATGGGGGAGGGACTTGTTGTGGCCCGAGTGACCCGTCGTGGGCACCGTGACTCTTGTGATTTTGGATGCTTCAGCCAAAACAAAGTACCATGTGTCAGCGACACTTAGCGACACTTGCTGTGCATCAGATGAATGAGCGATTGGTCTTCTTCCGCTGAGCGCAGCACCTGAGCAGATCAGAGCGCAGCACCTGAGCTACTCCTCAGCCAACCCAACCTGAAGACCAGAGGTGACCAGAACCCAAGTCTTAAGTATATAGGTCAGGTATACCAGGATTTTCTAAGACCTTGTTTAAAGATGTTTAAAGAGCTTGACCAGGTTTTGTAGTGACCTGATCCTTATCAAAGCGCTTCTTCGGCCAAAACCTTTCCTTGATTGGTGGTTGCCATCCTATAGGGTCTAGGTCTAGGCCATATGGATCCATATGAGCCCTCTAAGAGGGCAGCCACCGTCCGTACACGCCGCGCACCATCTCACTCCGTCGGACGGTCTCGGCAGGACGGTCTCGGGGAAATCGGCATGGAGGAAATCGCGCCCCAGCACTGCAGCGTCGGTGCCCCAGCAGGTGGAGTGTGAAAGGAGCAGTGGGCTGGCGGTGGTGGTTGAGTGGGGTGACGGCATGGAGCGCCAAAAGAAGTTGAGGGTTTGTATTCCGACCTGTATAAATATAATATATATATATAGCTTATATATGAAGACGTGTTACAATCCAAATGGGGCAAAGACCCGCGAAGAACCGCAAGTGAGCGAATCCAAATGGGGGTGGTTCTTAATCAAGATTCCACACATAGGCGTGGGTTGAGGATTTTCAGCCCACTCATTCAACTGGAGCTTTTGGACGCCAAATTCCAGTCTGATAGTGCCCAGACCTGTGCCCTTGTAGAGATTCCAACGATGACACAATCGTTTGGGAGGGACACAACCCCGAGATCAAAAGTCAACCTTTCCCCAATCGGAGAACAGGTACATGTCCCTACTACAGTACAAGCTTAAGGAGAATATTTCTGCTTTGTGGGTGTGAACAATACTCATGCGTTTGCGAAATGAAGGCCTCGTTTCCCTCCCAAGACGTGCGCCTTGTTTCGGGCACGTCCTAAGGTCCTGGCGACCTTTCGGCAGCCCGGGGGCTCGAGTGGTGAGGAGCGGAACGGCGAGGCGTGGTGAGGCGTGGTGAATCGAAACCCAAGGCCGCAAGGCCACTGCCCCAGCCTTTTTCCTGGAGAACGAGGCAACAGAAGCCAGGTATAGCCATGTACGGCAATCCCTTTGTGGTCCAACAAAGCCGGGGTTTGGAACAGGTTCTGTGAGATTCTGTGAGTGTGTTTGGAACTAACCCTAGGGATGCAAGTACCTTCTCAGAAGGTACTTGGACCCTCAATTCCTACATTAGAGTGTCTCCAATCATATTTTGTTGAACTTGTCCAAATGCAAAAACCGCTTCCAAGGGTTTATCACCCTGCCCTGACCCCACCACAAGTCCGGGAACCAAAATGACACTTTCTGCAGATGCTTGGACATGGTAATATGTCTCACACCGCATAGCTCAATGGGTCTTGCTAAAATCCTGTAGCGTTGTTCTCCACGTGGTACGGCAGCAGAAGAGGATGTTGTTTAAAGCTTTCTCAATATGAGTTCATATGAGCGATGGATTTGTACCTGCATGCTAACCAAACCCAGACTTTTGGATCAATCATGATGTCGTCAGAATGGTTCCCGCTTTTTTGACGGGACCTGAACATGCAAGCCCGGTCATTACCAAGCAAGCGATTGATTTGGGCGGGTTGCCAAAAATAAACACAACACCATATCTCACATCCAGCCCACATTATCCACACATGCAGCGGGTCCTGGTTTTGATCCTGAGCCATGGCGACAGAGATTTCATTCATCCAGCCTAACGGGTCGACGTTTCTTCTTTCAGTGCTCCCGGAGATGACTGGCCGGGAGCTCAAGCAGCAGATCAAAGATCGTCAGCTTGGTGAGAGCGAGCTTGCACGTGCAACAACCCGAGTAGAGGTCATTATTGGAGAGGACAGGTTCCTGGAAAACGACGAAACCATTTTGAATGCAGGCTTTTCTGTAGATTCGCAGGTGACAGTAATCCTCAACAAAAACATGGTAAGATGCCAACATCGCGATCAGCTACTTGAGTTTGGCCGTCAGATTGACTTGGAGTTGCCCTTCGTGGTTGAACTCCCGAACAGCACATGTGTGGTCGCTCCAGCAGCTTTCCTTGGTTGCCCAAACTTAGCCGAACTGACCATTCCTGACAGTGTGACGGAGATCGGAACATTGGCGTTTGCCAAATGCAGCTCTTTGGCCAATGTGACCATTCCCGATTCGGTGACTAGAATTGGACCTTCTGCCTTTGAGAGCTGCAGCTCTTTGGCAAGTGTAACAATCCCCAGGTCTATGGCTCACGTTGCCCTTGGTGTTTTTGAAAACTGTACCTCTTTGGCCTCTGTGACAATTCCCAACTCAGTGACCTCTATTGGGGAACGTGCTTTCCGCATGTGTATCTCTTTAGCCAGCGCGACAGTCCCTGACTCAGTGACTGACATTGGGGTTGCTACATTCGAAGGCTGCAGGTGTTTGGCAAGCATGACCATTCCCGATTCGGTGACCCAGATTAGAGAGCGTGTCTTTGCGCACTGCAGATCTTTGGCAAGTGTGACCATTCCCAATTCGGTGACCCTGATTGGGACGGGTGCTTTTGCACGGTGCAGCTCTTTGGCAAGTGTGACCATTCCTGATTCAGTGACCCAGATTGGGATTGGGGCCTTTGCTGGCTGCAGCTCTTTGGCAAGTGTGACCATTCCTGATACAGTGACGCTGATTGGGATTGGGGCATTTGCAGGCTGCAGCTCTTTGACAAGCGTGACCATTCCCAACTCTGTGACCCAGATTCAGCGGGGTGCCTTTGCGGACTGCGGATCTTTGGCAAGTGTGACCATTCCCGATTCGGTGACAGAGATTGGGAACTGTGCCTTTAAAAACTGTAGTTCTTTGACATTGAGGGTCTTCATCTCTGAGACCAGCGTGGGGATTGATGCCTTCAAGGGTTGCAAAGGTGTCATGGCAAGAGAATGTCAATGTCTCACTTGTGAGTATACCTCGTTTCTGAGTGGCGGGACTTGTCCAAAGCGCCGTCGTCTTGGGTGACAGTGTGCATCTCAACGTTTCTGAACTGGGCCATCTCAAAAAGGCCAACTTCCAAGTGGCGTCAACAAACTGGGTATGGTTGTGGTCAGCGTCAACTGGTAAGGCTTGCTAGCGGAAGGCCAGCGTCAACTGGAGGCTTTGCGGTCTTCCGGCGCTTGATGTTCATCGTGCGGGTCGTTCTGACGCCATTGCGATCGGTGTGGGGAAGACTCCGGCTTTCAGCACCTGACAGGTACCGCCCTTCGGCCCTTCGGCTTGGTGGGCAGGATCTGGAGATCAACGAAGGAACACATCGGCTGTGAGGTGGAAATCACGCCATCGCACAAAGGGGCTTTCCGGCGGCTGGGACATGTTGGTCGTCAATCTTTCTAAACCGCCCGCGGAAGCAAAATCATCATGGATACTTGGACAAAGACCTGGTATCTACTTTTCGATGGCCAGTCCTGATCAACCGAGGTTTCCGACATACATCTCCCGAAGAAAATCTGTTGGACCCAAGATGTCTTTGATGTGAAGGAAATCAGAAGGTGCTCCCCGAAACCAAGGCCCAGACACTCCATGCCTGTCATATATTATACCTACATTGACCACTCAAAACACGCCCAGGTAAATATATACCACACATGTAGTGTTTGGGAATCTCTCCTTTGTAGAGGAACATTATTGGAACATTGTTTTTGATGGTTGACGTATTCAAGGAGATTCAGGGCCAGGCATGAGCCATGGTAGCTTCCCCATCACACGTATCCGCATGTATCAGCTCTGATGTTGTTCATGCAGGAAATGCCCATTGCTTGTGCACGCAGGTGTAGGAATTCATGTTGGTGTGTTTCCAGTAATATGTCCAGCGTGAGAGAACATGGAAGGCCTTCAACAAAATGGGAGATGTTGGAATGTTCCACATTCTACCAGTAGGCGCCCTTTCAACATGTCCCTTGGACACCAAAAACACATGTAACAGATTTATATACAACCAAAATCAAGTAAATAATATCGCAGCGATTATGCCAAGAGCGTTTGACCTTGTCCATCACTGAACACCTGACCTCCTGTGGTTACCGGCCCCCCAGATGCCCGTCTGAGGTTTATGCACGAACGCGTGGGCACTTGCTCCGCAGTGTGGGACCATGCCATCGTACGGGGACCCAGCTGATTTGGGTGAAATCGGACCACCCAAACCTTCAACCTAATCTAGCTCAGATAGTCCTTACAGACACTCCAAAACCATCCAATACCACCCTAACACCTTGGAAGAGGAGGTAGATGGAGCACTGACACAGGGTGAATCACTATATCCCCCCGAGAACATGACGTCAATTACTGGGATGTTTCACCCGTTATTGAGCAAGTTTTAGGATGGACATGACGCAAACATGAAGATCAGACCGTCCACAAGTCTGGGTGATAGAACGTTTGGTAGATCTGGGTGTGCCCAAAGTCCGGATTTCAACCATGCATAACATAGTGCTAATTCGACTGTCCATTTTGCCAGGCTAAGAGTAGGATTCCTTGGATTTGGTGGGATGGACATCCCCCTTTAGCTTGATGATGCTTAATGATTCTTAATCTATACCCAGAGCACTGGATATTGGTGCGTAGGTTTAGGTTGCATCCTCAATGGCCCGACATCCTCATGGCTTACTGGTGCCCCAGACATGCGTTTGTCCGAACCGCTCTCCAAAAAGTTCTCGTTCACCACCCGCCATGTATTGGCTTAGGTCGTCCGCCCTAGAAATCCACGACCGGAACAAAAAACAGTTCAGGTCCACGCGATCGCATCGAGGATTTTGGAGTGTGCATGGATCGTGAGTAGTGCTTGCAGACCCCTCCTCAAGCAACGCAGAAATCGATCCGCCCAACATCATCTAACTTTTGTGTCGCATGACAAAGAGTTCAAGCGCCAGCCTGCGCAACACTTTTTTTTTCCAAGCAGGTTTGCACAGAACATGTTTTCCAGCATGGAAGAACACACACATTTGCGTTCGGTCAGAGGAACTCCCATCTAATTATACTCTTGAACATTTTGACATATTACAAACACATATTTGTGTACAGCTGTACAACAGGAAAATGGTTGTCAGCCGGTGCCAGATGAGGAACGGTAAGCCACGTGTCACCGGGGCATGTTCTTCAATTGTTCATGTTCCAAACCCACTAGGAGCAGCATTGGGGAGGCCCAAACCCAGGCCCTTCAGAACCGAAGAAATTCACCACCACGTAGTCCATTAAGTGTTCCAAGCAAGGCCCTCGATGCCTGTGTGGGGCAGCGGGAAGGGCTCCTTGGCCAGCAGTTGGCACTCATTAGATTTGAGTGCTGCCAGCACTGGGAAGTTCATGTGGTCATGTCTCGTGTGGTGCTGGTACTCGTCTCCCTTTGTTTCAACAAACCTGCACCGACTGGGTTGGATACGGTTTCAGATTATATATTAAGTTGTATACTCTCCAAGTTATTAACCTGGAAGTGGATGACTCCACCAGTTTGGTATTTGGATTTCCTTATCATCCAAGGGGCCGCCAGCTGCTTCCGTGATTATCTGAGGGACTGTAGATTGGGTTTTGCACTGCCCCCAGATGCTTCAGGCAGATCATGTCTTCCACCTGGAACTCCAGAGAGGTTTGTTTGGTATAGCGTTCGGCGTCCTCAAGGGGGATCAATTTCAATCAGTTTTACTATAAGTATTTTTTTGACAAAAGGTTTGAAACATTCCAAAAGAAATTGGGTACTAAGTTATTTTCTAAGTTTTTGTTTTCTGTCCAAACATTCCAAAAAGATGGGGTTGTCATTGTAACTAGCACTCCTTTTGCAAGTCCGGTGTTCTTTCCATCCCGGTGCCATTCCAGGTGATAGGCCAATATATTCGTCAAGACTTCAGCGAAGCCGTTGCACTGTTTAGTCCCACTGTACAAAACTGACGTTGCCATTCTGTTGGACCAAAAATTGTCTATACCCAGACCATCCATGAATAGTTACACCGTCATTTACTCCATTTATGATCCCAATGTAGGTAACTATTCCAGTCCCATGGATGGTTCGTCACGTTCGTCACGACACGGTGACTGTGTTTCTTCGGTTGAGAACGCACGCCGAGCCGTCGACGCTCCGACGCCGACTTCGGGGTGGCAAGCGTTCGGCCAGGTAGCAAAGCCAAGTGAAGGCCCTTTGTAGGGTCAAGGACAAACTGCGACATGAAAAACGAATAACCTAGGCAAGTGCAAACTGGACATGAATTGTTTTTTGTTTTAAATGTCCTTTGTGGGGTTTTGTGTGCCTGCAATGGTTGACCTCCGTCTCTTCTATTCCATTTAGGTTTGTTTGGATCAGGTTTGAACTCATCCAACTACCCACATCCAACTCGCAGACTCATTTAGCTACAGGAAGGTCCCCCATGGTGTCGCTGATCGTTTCGCTTTCGGATCGCTGCTCGGGTGATGTCAGGCTTTGGAAGTCCACACGCAAGCTGCTCCTACAACCCTTCTTGCGGGCGCCCACCTCCTGGGGAGCAGGGTTCGTGCGTGTGCAGGGCTCGTGCGGAGGTTGCCATCACCTCGTGGCCGGGGTCCGGGTTTTGTCCTTTGGATTTCAAGTCGCTTTTGCGGACCATCTTGTTGGGGGTATCCAATGGGTGGATCTCTCAGTAGTGTAGGGTGGTCCATTGGACACCGCAGGATGGTCCTGGATGGTGCAGGTCTTCTTCCGGGGAAGGGAGGCGGCGTTCCTGGCGCCGAATCTCAAAAGCAGAGAGGAGGTGCCACGTGCAAATGTTGTTGGTCTTGTTTGCAAGCCTTGTTTTTTCACCGTCAAACCCACACACCAGAACGGACGGCCCACAACAATTCATACAGACATGCCCTTGCCAGATGTTGCAACATATTGTTAGGGTTTTCAAGGTTGTTTTATATCACGAAAGCTAGCACCAGCTAGCTGGAGTTGCTCTTGCTGCAAGTGAGGGGCTGGAATCCTCGAGAGCGCCGCATCGCGGGTTCAACTCCCTGGGACCTCTCTGGACATGTGTATTTCCGCTGGCAGCTGGCAGGGGGACTGTTCCTGTGGCGGCAGGATTAGGAGTTCCTTTCTGGGTCGGATATCCCCCGCTTCACCCCTGCCCTGCTAGCTTTCGTCACCAACCCCTCGGCCTCAAGTATAGAATCATACATCGAAAACATAAGGAACTGAACATAATCATACATCATAAACAAATTCACATAAGGATGGATAAGATGCATCTGATCAGACTAGACACTCCATGTATGCCATATTTGCCGATCAGTTGAGGTGGTGCTAGGGGGGTCAATGTGTGCATATATGGCAGTCCCATGGAGTGTTTGGGAACTGTATTGCATCATCCTCTTCGATTGCCACGTCCATCGTGCGATCCATCGTGGGTCTACCTGCGACAGCTGTTCTTTAGGTGCTCAGGGAGCTCGGCTGGCCGACCAACCATGCGGAAGCCAGGTGCGTCGTCCGATGGATCGTTGAAAGCGTGGATGGAACAAGAAAGCCCGGAAGCAGGAAGAAGGGACATCGACTTTAAGCAGGACTTGAACATCGACTTCTTGTACCCTAGACACATGGGGACATGACACTATTTCAAGAACAGATACGACATAATACGACGACTGTAGGGGGTGCCACTGTCACATCCATTCACTTAGTGACTCAAAGCTACTGGGCCCCATGGTGACTCCTGGAAAGTAGTAAAAACTAAGCAAGAACACATCTCGGTGGTCCATGACTTCCCTGACATTCCTGGATTCATCTGGATTCCTTACACTCTTCCTTGGAGATGTGGTTTTCTTGCCCAGTTGCTGGAGGTTACTTGAACAGACTTGGAACATGTTTTAGCAAAGTTGGCCAAGGTTCCCTTCTGCAGCATTCCTGCAGATTTTACTAGATTTGCGTTTGGAGCTCTCTTGGTGTTTGGAGGTCATTTTCCTCACACTTGCATCTGCTGTGCTCCCTCACTTCCAACCGGGAAACCGGTACTGGGCCTGCAGAGATCATGGGATCGCAGTCTGGTGCTGTGATCCATCACGAGTCTTCAGCCGATCAGCCGATCACGAGGAGTCATTTGGACAGTGCGACCGAGTCGACGTGGTGTTCTTTTTTCTTGATTTAGAAGGCGTACAGTGACCTTCTGCGAGTGAGCAGTACCCACAGTGACCTGCCAGTGACCAGCAGTACCCAGCTTCGATTTGGGTGCCACCGTCCGTCCCAGTCGGTGCGATAGGGAAAAACATCCCGGTTGGAGGGTCCTGTAGGGTGGTCCCACACCCAGACAGGATGGTCCTGGCATATAACTTGTGTATATATAATTTATATCATTCCCTGGACCCAAGGGGTGGTCAATGGACACCCATTGACCTCTAAGGGGCCACTAATGGACACCCTTTCCGTGGTGCTGGTCCCAGACACGACTAATGGGACTGGTACATTTACCAATCAGTTGGGGTGGTGCCAGGGGGGTCAATGGGGCGGTTCTTTTTTTGATAGACATGGAGTGGTCTGGGATTTGGAAATCCGGAACATTGTGCGGGCCAGCATGGTGACCGACTTGCTGCTAGGATGATACCTGATGACCATATATCATATACCAGTGTTGTTGTTCTAATTGGAAGGGACCGCTGAAAAAAAGAACAGCACATCACATTGACATGTGGTTCTTGACAAGTTTGTCACTGCCACTGCCTGGATGTTCAGCACATAGCAGGGGGTCTTTCATGCGTTTCTATTGATCAAGGCGGTCGTTCGACCGGGCGACGGACCGGCCCCGTTCTTCGTTTCGTCGTGCTCGTGCTGGAACGCACGAACACCCTCCCTCGCGTCGGACCTCCTCCAGGTCCGCCTTGCTGGCCTCCTTGGACTTCTTCGGTTGTGGCTTCGTGTGCCTTCGACGTCGCAACGTCGCAACGGGAGAGGTGGAGAACCCCGGTGATCGAGTCCATTTTGAGGGCTTGACTAGCTAGTCAGGGCCTTGATTAGGGCCTTATGATGGCCACCACTTTGGAAGAATACTTCCAGTATCTTCCAGTGTTCTAAACATGTTTGCTTTTGATCATTCAGTCACATCAAGATTGCTAGCTGCTAGCTTGGGCTTATGGCCTATGTGGTTTTTACAAGTCTTTACTGCTGCCCAGGATGCGGCAGGAATCTTACTCGTTGTTTTAAACCTGTCACATTGAATGGCCTCCATTTGGGAATCGTCGCGAAACCGCACCTGTTGCAGAGGCCAGAGTCGACCTTCAGTTCCACCACCACCACCAACAACAACAGCAACAACGTGACATCCTACACCCAAAAAGTGAGACCCTCGCCCCCACCTGCCCAGCAGCCAGCACGGTCTCCCACCGTACCGTCTCTTTCCTGTCTGAACCCGTGGAGAGGTCCCGCAGCGACCTGGAGTGGTTGGACAGCTGGGAGCCGCCCAAGTGGATCTATTCCGAGCCCGACCTCGAGGACCGTCCCAAGCGGAGCGCGGCGGTTCGAACGGCCGGAAGTGGCAAACCAAACCCACTGGGGTCGGGACTCTGGGGTTGGGGAGGTGGTGACCAGGCGGCTGGAGTGCTGGTGGGGGGGGTTTATATAGTTGTGGATGGATGTGGGTGGTTCTCCGTTTCTTCATGTTTTGTTTTGCAACTTATTGCTGTTGTTTTTTGTTTTTTGGTATTTTTTGGTAGTTTGCTGTGTTGCTTTTGTTATAGTGGATGGGCGGATTGTTGATGTTTGTTGGCCTTTTGCATCACAAATTTGACCACGCAAAATGACCAACTACGTAGGCCGAGTGTTGGAAAAGCAGTGGTTGCCCACTGTCTACTGTAAGACATACACTTATTGAACACATCTTAAGTTTGTTTGTGTTTGGTTTAATTGCAGATTGGACGTTCTAAGAGTGTAGGTGAAGGTCATTCATTTCATTTCCCTCAGACGATCGTACCTCAGATTCTGGTGTCCAAGAACTTTCAACACGAGTTGAGTGACTTCCCAAAAGACTCTTAGACCTCCCACCAGCTTCGCTGGAGTTCATGAGAAGCCTGGCAGCCTGCAAGTTGGCATAGCTGGATCTTCCACCTATGCCAACATGCCCGCCTTTGGGTGAGTTTTATAGATTGAAAGGCATATATTTTGCACAGTTAGAAGATCTAGGTATATCTTGGTTTCAAGGCCCAAGGTGACAGTGACCACGAAAAAGAAACCAAGTGAATCCCCTAACCAGGCCAGGCCTGACTTGGGGAACCCAGATGGCGGGAGCTTGTTTCAGTTTCCGACGTAGTCTTTTTGGCAGAAGATCAATCCCCAGTTGGGCTTCAAGCCTGAGGTATTGGGTGCCGATTAGCACCTTGTCGTCTACTCGCAGTGTTTCTGTGTTTTTTTCCTTTTGGAAGGATCAGTCACATCTCTCCGAAGAATCACAGGCCGTCGCCGTCAAAAGCACGGTCCGACCTGAAACGGACACCGGTCCTTGGGCCGTTCCGAAACACCACGGAGGCCTTAGAAGAGCTTCAAGCCTTGGTCAGCAAGAAGTGCACAGACCGGTCGGCCTTCGTTTTCGGCGTTCGGCGTTCGTTTTCGGCGTTCGGGTGAGGAGGTGGGTCGAGTGATCAAAGGAAACACAGCCGCTGTCGCCATGCGGTGGCCATTCGCCAGGGTCTGGGATGAGTTTGGGATTTGATCTGATGGATCTGGAAAAAGATCTTCCACATGGCAGTGGAGGGCCGAATACCCCTTTTGGAAGAGCATTGTTCACTTCATACCTAAGCAGTGTGGTGTCCACCTCCAATTCGTTGAGTCGAAGTTGAGTCCTTCCCCGGTACTGTTGGTTCAGTCCTTCCCCGACCGGTTCCGGTGCGTTCCAGTTCCGAAAAAGAAAACCACACCGGTGTTAGTCTCTGAAGTCTACGTAGCAAACCGAAGTAACCCGGACAACCCTCTAGGGTTTATGGTTCTTCGGGATCCGAAAGTGTACTGCAATCGTTGCGAAGGTTCGACACTCGGATGGTCCTATGTGCAAAGCGAAACGCCGGACGTAGATTTCCGTTAACATAGATTGTCCAAGGGGTAAACATGCAAAACTCTGAAGTTTTCTGAGTTATACACGTATAAATAACTCTGATAAGTTCTGAGTTTCTACACTGGGCCACATGCTACATTTTGCTACACACAACAAGGATCTTGCTAATTTTCTCCAAATCGAGCTCCGGCTGCCTTCAAAAAGCACGGTTGGCAAACATGTTCAACTACTTGTCCTTCTTGTTCTTCTTGGTCGCTCTCGATTCATTACCGAGGAATCTGACAGCAACGTAACAACCACTACAAGATCCTCAAGCTTTTTCAGATCGTTCCAACCAATGTAGCTTTGGAGGTGGGGCTGGTTCGAAGTAAAGTCATTGTTCTCATTGATTCTAGTTTTGTAGCGTTTTCACGCCGCTTCCAACAAAGGGTTTGTTGGCACCATGGGGATAGATTCGATTCCCAACCAGGCCCAACCAAGTCTTAGAAGCAATCCAAATTGTTTGTTTATGACCAGTTCTGCTGCGTGAATGCCGGTATTAAAGTGTTGACACCACAGGCCGAAGATTGTTTTTGCATTTATGTGGTTCTCGATTCCTCAATGCCAGGTACTCTCATCCATTGTTGGCGTGGCGTTCTCTCTTCGACAGGCTTGGAAGGACAACTCTTACCATTCCTTGGCTACCAAAGTGGGTTCTGATGAGCGAAACATTGCCGAGTTCACAAACCACCATAGAAGGCGCCCCTAGCTGCCAGCTATTTCTAAGATGTTTATCTTGCACCCCTGTGCTTGAGTACCTGCGTTCTGTGTTGTTCTTTTGGTACGGAGATCTAAAAAAGGCTCCACGTCGATCAGAAAACATGCTACCGCTCCGGCCCCAAAGCTGCCCCTGAGCAACCTGACATTCCTAAGAAGAGCTAGCTCCAGCTGTTTCAGGGAAACGTAAATTTAAGGCAAGAACATCAACAGCGGATTTACTGTAGTTTGCACCCCCCTTGCTATACCTTAGCTAGTTCCAACACAATATAGACGTGAATGTGTTCCTTGTCAAAAGCGTCAATCGGTAGGTGGCTGACCTCAAAGAACACCAAGGACACCAACCGCTGTTTGATGGACCTACTGCTCGAATGAAGATCACTCCGATTGGCATGACCTCCACTAGTGGATTGATGTGAATAGGCAAAATAACCCAGTTTGAAGCATGTTGAAGGATCTATACTTTAAAAGGTGAGACCGGTCGCGCGACATTCGGGGAGATGGTCGCAGGACCGCAGGACCTGTGCTAGGTGGATCCGATCTGAATTGGTTCCTATATATATATATATATAGGGTCTGTCCGAACTGACCTGCAACAGTCAGTAAGCAATTATCATCATTTTTGAACAAGGCCTGCAACCTAACCATCATCATCCACTGTTACAGGTAATAGGATAGACCCAACTAGCCTATATACCCTTGGGTCATAGGTAGCTGCAGGTAGCTTTGGAATATTGCAACTGATTGCACCGATGCCTTTTACCAGTTTGTCAGTTTGTTCGTGCCATTTCGGGCCCTGTCAGAGTGGGTCGACCCATGTAGATCCACTTCTCAGGATGCACTTGCAGCCCTTGTTGCACTCGGTGTTGCTTGGTCGAAATCGAGCTTGTCTCCTGCCCAGGGATGACTCCAATAGTGTCTCCTGGCTCGAGCCACTTGGCACACACGTGGTGTTTTTGACGGTTTGAGGGGTGGGCAAATGAGCCAGGGATTGCCAAATGAATAGCCAGAACACCTTTATGAGCAACGACCGGCATAGTAAGACTGCACAAAGAGTTGGCGGACGAGCACATCCATGATGTGAGAGCCAGCCAGTTGTGGGACTATACAGTCTAAAACTATTCAGTTGGTTGAGGTTTCTATCCATTCTACCACTCTGGCCCCCCCCAAAAAAAATTGGAGAGGATCATGCCAAGCACCTATTGGTCCTAGACCTTCTGGAAGGTCTAGTGAGTCTAGTGGTTCATCTTCATTTTCGCCTATCTGCGGCCTATTTGGGCCTTCTTGATGCCCATGAACCGACGTTCGAAGACCTTCCGACCCCTCCGTTTTGACCCCTCCTGAACCGGTCGAACTGCAGGTTCTGCGGGGCTTGCGAGAAGCTACGCTTCAAAGGTGCGACCAGTTGGTCGTTCCGTACGTCGCGAACTCGGAGCTGGGGGCTGAGTGAAGTATGGACAAGCTCAGGGGCAAAGGAATGGCATTTTCATGCTCAATGCTTTCTGAAGCAATTTGACATGTACACACCTTGTTAGCCAATACATCTTAACAGTCAAAACAACCATTCCACCAACTCTCGAGAGTCACGCCACTAGAACTCTCGAGAGAGTCACTCTCTCATGTGTTTCTTCCGCTTCGGATCATGCGTTTCTTCCAGATGTTTGTTCGCATGCGCTCACCACCCCCATGTTCAAAAGACGATCATATCAAAAGTCGTATAGGGAAAGGTAGAGGGGTTTGTACAACCTCATGTGAGGATTTTTGGGGGGCAGGTGGCCAGGATCTCAGTCTCTGTCCTGTCTCATCCGCGCAGGCAACGTGGGTGGCGCCTGGCGAGCACTGGACACTGACCTCTCCGGACGCATCTCCCTGCTGGAGCGACATGGCCACGCGCAGCCGCGAAACCGGTGTGGTTTGGTTGCTGGAGAACTGCGGAGTTGGGTGGATCAAGCAGAGAGTTCTATTGATAGCCCCTTAGATGTTAAGGGGTGTCCATCCATCACCCCTTGTGGGTCCTGGTGTAATCTATGTGTTCTTATCAACGGTCTGGTTGGCTAGGGATAAGGAAGGCAATCG